ACATTACAGTCCTCTAAAACGAATCAATTGATTGTATACTACACTGAGGATGAGTATCCTAACTGATGCTTTTTGTTGTCTTTCTCTCTGCAAATGTCAGGATATTACTTCAAATAAGATATGACTGCTTCTTTTCAGATTCTTCACAGTTCCTCTATATTCAGTGCTTTGTAACCAATGCGTTATGATATAAATTGCCATTAAATAAACCAAGAAACAAGTTTTTATGACACTCAGACTTACTGGGTTTTATAACACCACAACTATCCTGTGCTCTAGGCATATTCATTATAGGTGTCAATGATATTACGGTAGTTACCTCTTTAGGTGATAGTTTTTTTTTTAATGTTTTATAATTTTCATTGATGACAGTGGTTAGATTCATAACTGTAACCCTTCAAACACTAGTGATTTTTTGTAATAACTGAAACACAGATAGAGTATTCAAAGATGTATGTTTAGCAACAAGTGCTGTCCCTGATATTAAATAAAAGCTAAATATATGCCAGTAATAATAAATGCCTCATAAAGCTGGGTATAGAGCCTGCTCTTGAAATTCTAAATATGTTTCAGATACTCCAACATTAACATGGCATAATGAACCTGTAATATTTGTAGACCTTTAGAGAATCATTAAAGAAGAATAAATAACCAATAATTGGGAAATGTGACAATGAAATGATAATTATTTCTGTACCATTATTAGCAAAGCATTGTTTGGCCTTCAGTGATGTCCATATGTTTGGCTTCAGCTTGTAAATCCATACATTTTCTTGACCCTGTAGGAAGTTACTTTACACATTTACAGTGTCTGTGTAAGTTCCATCTAATGAAATGGTTGTTTTTTTCTGTAGCTGGTATGCTGTTCTGTAAATTCACTTGTATAATGTTAGGCTCCAGAATGTGGAATAGTGTGCCTTGTGTCTGTGAAGGATTGCTAAGATCATGCAGTGTTGGATGTGTACTAGGTATTTATTGTCCTAAGTAGTTATATTAAGAAAGCTATGCTATATCCATACCTCATTGTGATTTAAAAATTCTATAGCTTCTCTTGAAAGGTTTGCTGTGTTTCAAGAAATAGGGTAAGAGTTTCCAACCCATTTTGTTTAAATACTAATATGCATTATGACCAGCAGAACAAGAAAAGCAAATAAGGTTTGTGTTTTATCTGTCAAGTAGCAGGATAATTGTATTGTGTTGCAACACTACAAAATTATGAGTCTCCAAACTGATTATCCCACCATTTACAATGTTAAACACAAACATTAATTTATATTTAATGTTAGGCACAATAGATCACTCTTGTCGTGGTGCAAGGGCCAAGAATGCCCACCCCTTATACATTCATTCGTTATATTTAATGTGTTTTGATGATTATAATTTGAATAATAAAACGTTTGTATTTCCAAATGTTGAAGTATTTGTTGATTTTGAGGCAATGTTAAACTCTCAAGTTATTTGTAACTGTAAGTGCAGATGTTTCACATTATTTCACCCTAATATCTGTTTTTGTTTTTGTTTTTTTTATACTATAACTTCTGTTTTATATAATCTGATTTATTGTATTTTTTACGTCAAGTGTTTTATATGATGAATAGTATTGTATCAGTTTAATAGTACTGTAGTTCAGTGATGTATATATGTTAACCGTGTATTTACCTGATGATAGCCGAAACAGGAAGCAGAGCCGTAGCTAGGCACTGATCTTGATATTTGTTGTGTTGTGAAAGAAGTTGTATCTGTTTTTATATTGGCAGTCAAAATGTTGCACCACTATTGACTGTCGAGTTTTCAAGCATGACATAAAATACCACTAGATCATAAATGGTTAGTTTTAATAGTACTCTAAAGTAGTGTTATAATATTTTCTAAAAGTATAGTGATTTTAATTTCAGGCGAACATTCACATTCTGTATATCATCAGTGGACTAAAAGACCAAAAAGAATTCTTTAATTCCTCCCATCAACAATACATAAAGATGGTGATTAGGATAACTTCCAACGAGGGAGCATAACCAACATTATTTAACAAACAAAGCAGACGTTTTTTATGTTAAATCTTTCAAGAAAAGTTTTCTCCTTATTTGAAAGTATTTTTTCTCACAAAATAAGAAGACTGTGTGGAAGAAGTACTTTTATGTTTTGAGTGCTTAGTCTTTGGAATTGCTGTAGCCAGTACCTTATCTACATTTTGAAAAATCATGTAAGTTAAATTAAAATTTATCACATTAATTTTTAAATCAGCAGTACTCCTGACATGAATATTGGTCCTTTCATAACAAAGTTCTTCTATGACTACATTTTCTTTCATTCAGAAAACATTTTTCAGTGATCCCAGACATTCTGGGGGAGAAGGGTATGAAGTTTCAATCTGTCAGCCCCCTTTCTAAATATGACTGGCTGCAGCTAAGATACAGAATTTGGCACATAAGAGAGCATGTGTGCTGCCCGTTTTTTGGTGTCTCAGAGGTTGCATTGCTTTCAGCTTTGTCCCTTTGCTATGTAACAATATGTGCTTATTGTAAAGAGTAACTGAGAGTACTACACTGCTTATTTTCACTTATTCACACTCTATATTTGATATAGTATACACGTATGTTGTATAAACATTTTATAATGATCATCATTACAAGTAGATTAATTTTAAAGACCTAAGAGATTTCTTTATAAATGTAAACTAGGTTAAATGTCTGTACAGCGAAATTTTAGTGCACTTTTCATTCCAGAGAAGAAAGTGTTTTCCCAAATTGTGTTTCCTTTTTTTATAGTATACTAAAAAGTAATTAATCTGATTATATATTTATTGTTGTATCATTTATAAGAGTCTCCAGTCACCAGTGTTGCTAGCACTTTGTTCAGTTGTGTGAAAAACATTAGTGTCATAGCTGCTTCTATATCAGTGTCTCCCAGACTAATTTGATCATGGTACCCTTCTCATTTCCTGCAATACTCTTTGACATAGGATACCTAATGATTTTATATATTATCGTATTATGGATAGGAGAAACAATCCACACATGTCAGTTGAAACTTGCATGTATTTTGGTCATGCAGTTCATCTTTAAAAACATTTGTTTTTCAGTCTCCTGTTTACTTATGTGGGAGTCTGATAAATGTGTTATCCTTTAAACTCTTCATATTGACTGATAATATTGTAATGTGTTTGGAGTAGATACTTCCATGGTAATGCAATAACAGTAGGCCATTGCATAGAGAAAACTGAAACAACGAACATGTTTCCCCGGAGATGGACAACAGAAGACTCGTTGCATAACAACGGACTGTCAAAACAGCAGAAACGGAACTGTGAGGAATGGTGTTTGGTATCCAGTCCGCATAACACCTATATAAGAGAGTTAGAAACAGAGAGACACATACGAACAAGACAGTCGAGATCCAGCCACAACCAAGGACAGTTGAGGTGTCGCAGCCGCATAAGGCAGTAAAAGTACTGAAGTGGAGGCAGTAGTTGTGATACTGCAAGTGATAGTAACTGTATTCCTGATGCTAAGTAAGTGTGGATGAATGAGTTCAATAAATAATCGTTGAATCTGAAGGCTACGAGAAGTTATTTGTCACGTGACAGACCCAACACGTGAGAGTATATTGCTGTTATAAGAAGAGTGTATTCAGTAATGACTGATGATGAACAGTCTGCACGATTATGATATAGCATTCAGTTCCACTAGGTATTATGTCATATTTCAAGTAAGATATAAAAAAGTATATAAGGTAAGCTGTCTACACAACAATATTCTGTATTTAAAAACAAAGAAGACACTACTGCATCAACATTTCCTTTTATTATGCTTTTATAGATGCAAAATGTTTCGACCCGTGTATCGGAATCTTCTTACATGGGATAGGTCATGCAGTCATGACTTGAGTAATGTCTTACGGAGGTATGCTCATTATTCAGTATGTGATGTATATTAGGTTATTCTTATGAGTGGTGTGTCCAGGCTGCTCCCTGCATTGCTGAAATCACTATGTTGTAGTGGTTCGGTGTAGACTAGACTAGAATGTTATATTTCACTGTAAATTCCACATGGAATCTCCCACATTTTATTTAATATACCTGTAGCATTATATCAAAGATAAAATGAATGGACCAGCAACTGAACACTAGTAATTAGTTGTTTGAATTTATGGGATATTTCATGGAAGAAGTTCATAATTCAGTTACACCTAAATTGTTTGATTTGGTCAAAATGTGCTGTGTGTTTCAGTTAAATGTACAGTCTGAATTGGACTATTTCTGTGTATGTTTTGTACAAGATGTTTGACTCTTCTAGAGGAGCAGTCCTAAGAAACTGAAGTCAGAAAACTTTTCTCATAGAACCTCATCTCATCCCAGTGTTCACACAACACAGTTCAGGACACACTGTTGTAGATGGTTCTAATGCAAGATTTCCCATATTACTGGAATTCTATAAAGTGTCTGTATGGTTCACTAGAAGTCAAATCTGCATTTATGGGTTCATCCATGCAACTCCCTGTACCAGTCTTATGTTGTGCCAACATTTTTCACTTCATCTAAAATCAGATGAATTAGTGAGATTTGAGATTCTCGCAGCAGTAACTGAAAAGTATATCTTCTGGGATGTAAAGCCATGTAGGCTGCTTGAAGTCCACTGATATTTCAGAGGAGCACACTGCCTGTCATAAGGGTTGAAGGGTGAACCAAGAAAGGTGAAGACTTGCAATGGGTGAATGATTACCTGGCGTTCTAATGTGTATAACTCATGTGGGGGCACACAGTAGTGTAATTGGTTGAGGCACTGTGCTACAAGCTGGAAGGTCACGAGTTTGATTCCCGATAAGGTCACTGGATTTTTCAATAAACATAAAGCTTCTAGCCATACTATGGCCCTGGGGTCAACTCAGTCTCTAATAGAAATGAGTGCCAGGAATCTTCCTAGGGGTAAAGGGCGGCTGGTGCATAAGGCTGACCTCACCGCCATCTGTGATCTGACTGTCTAGAAAATGGGAACCTCGACATCTCACAACCCTATGGGACGCAACGGCCTGTTACACAGATAGCTTTACCTTTTTTTTATATACCTCATATGGCATTTCAATGAGAGTTAACATGACTGAATGTTGAATACAGTAGCTGAGTTCAAGATTATGGTCAGCCAGCGCATAATGCATAACCTTGCTTCATGGTACCTCTTCATTTATTTATTGGGGCAATATTGGATAGAAAATGTACACATAATGTGTATAAGCTCTTAGTATGTCAAGTTCACTACTGGTTGGCATAAGTTGATGTGGGCAACTGTACATCTTTTCAGTAACACTTAAATCACCCTATTTCACTGTAATGCCAAAAATATATATACCATCAGTAGTGTACATGCCCTGTACACTCTGCTTCATTACATGCTGTCTAAAGATTTCATACTTAATTTATAAAATGTGATGCTGTGGCACATTATAATATAACATTCACTCAGCCAATTAATTAAGTGTATGTGACTCAGACAGGCCATAAAACTTAAATGTTGCATTCTTTGTTTGAAATTTCTCACAAGTACAAGTAAGAAGAAAAATAGCATATATATCGATGGTATGCTACTTGAAATGTTTGCCTACTTCATAATAGCTTTGACCAAAATACTTGAAAGCAGTGAAAGTTTTAGTAGAACACATTATGTGTTTGTGCTGTACCACTGTCTTATTGGCAATAATTTTTACGTACTTTATACAAGGAATGTTTCCTGAAAGAATAAAAAAATAATTAGATATAGACCACCTTAATAGTACTGTAGTTAATTAGGAAATGTGCTTGAAGGGCAGCCTGTAATTACCCATTCTCAGAGTCGAAGTACGCTGATCTCTTCAGTTTAAAATAATTGAGCCTTAAAGTCTAAATTTTCCCATTATGGTCTTATTTGAATTTGTTCACAGTATTTTCCAATATAAGTTAAAAGTCTACATATAACAAATAATGTAGGGTTGTTCTGGTGTGCTTGTTGTGACACAACATGGAAATGTTTCTAATTACTAATTAACTAACCAGCATACTAATTTTTAAGGTATTATAATTCATTACAACAGCAATGCAGAGAATGCCTTTGACCCATCATGTGCAATTTAACAGTCAGTAACCCAGTATTTGCCACAGGAAATATGGATTTGTGTAGTTCTAGAACAAATGGGATAATATCTCACCCTTCTTTGATCAACTAATGTTAGTAACTCATGAATATTTAAGTGTGAGTTTATCATACAATTATAATTCATTATGTTCCTAATACCCATGAAGTCAAGTCAGTTTCTCTACAGTCTCATTCACATTCACAGGAGTGGACAAACACACATCTCTTGTTGCTGTGCTCTCAATTTCCTTCACTTGAATCATGCTGTTGTGTAAGGCACACAAATCCATACACGGTATTCTTTATGTATCCAACCCTCTCATTAGAAGCAGCACCATTACTTATATTAGTTTACAAGTTTATTGGCCAATATAAATAGTGATTATCTGATCCTTGACAAACTTGGCATTTCTGGCTAATGGTAAACTGGAAACAGAAATATTTTTCTTTTTTGGCCATGAGACATTTAGTTTACAACTGCCATTTTACTTATAGAAGGTCCCATCCATAAAATACATTGTGTTATAATATCTTATATATTCAATGTGGTGGAATGATGTGATGCATAGGACCAGTGTTTTACCATAGTCTTGAAATACGTGCATTAATGCATGAATAAATGGCTGTTAATACCAAAGATAGTGAGCATGCGCAGGTCCTTGAAGACCCATTTCTAAGCCAGTTAATTAGTATCTTCCAGCATGATGGACCATATGCCACATGACATTCATTCATCACATACTTTGTTAACTGCCATATTTTCGCCTCTAAATGCTTCACTCCTTGAAGCCCAAATCTGACCCTGTTGTCCAAAATAAACACATTAACTTCAAGCAGAGGTTATTTACTTTTTATTATTCCTGCAAAGCTTGAGAGAAGGATCTGTTTGTTATATTGTTTATATCCTACAGACCATGCAACCATGGTTTCATGTCAAAATTTAGGCAGTAGTGATTTCATGATATCCTTCACGCTTCGTGTTCTCTCCCTCTCAGCCAACACTGACATGGCTATTAGAAGCAAAACAGTTACCAGAGCTAGTATCACCACAGCAATGACCAGCCTCTTCTCAAGTTTCGTGTTCGGGCTGCATTGACAGTACTGCTCTCGCACCACCCTGCTCAACACAGCAGAAAACAAAATGGTGCAGTACATTCAAACCCTGTCAGAATGATACAGTATAGGTACTATTAACAATCTCTATAGGATTTGCCAGAAATGCAGTCAGGGACTGGACAAATATGAATCACAAGAAATACTGGGGATCCTTAACTGAACTCAGGCAAGCAAAGGGACTCATACGAGGACCCTCTACTAAAAGAGCGAAGGAACTGTTGAAGTTAAACAGGAACCAGCTACGATGTGTGGTAGGACTACTTATAGGACACTGTCACCTCAAAGGACACCTCTTCAAACTGGGACTAAGTAACAGTCCAACTTGTGAGAGGTGTCAAAAAGAAAACGAAACAGACACACACACACATCCTGTTCGAATGTGAGGCCTTAGCTTATTTAAGATTGCGCCACTTGGGTCAATATTTTATGGAACCAAGTGACTATTTCGATGTCCCCACATACAAGATCCTGCCCTTCATTTGAAGTGCAGGATTGTTGAGGGGATAATCAGAAGGGGAGGCACAATAAATCACTGTGGTCGAAGTGCAAGAGCCAAGAAGGCCCACCCCTTATACATTCATTCATACTATTAACAAATGCTTTTTCCTTATGTGCCAGCCATTTATTGTTTTCATGAAATAAATGATACAGCCAGCATTCGTTGCAAATACAGATATATATCGTGCAGAAGATACTTGCTGTTTTTAAGAGAATTTTGTGACACTTCGTATGAAAGCTCAGGATCATATCTTTCAGTAAACGTCATTCTTTTACCATTTGAAGGTTGAAAATTTGTTATATTTTTATATATATTTTTTTGTTNTAAACTATTCAACCATACTTTTATTTATTTTATTTATTTATCTACGTGCTTCCACAACGGCCAAATATAAAATGAGCATGAGCAAAGATGGAAACAAACACACATATTCACACAAAGGAAAGAGACAAAACAATTGAACTAACACAGTACAAATTCAATAAATACAATTGGGCAAACCATTATGCAGCGAAGAAAGAAAAATATACAAAGTGGTTCTTATCTTTGTTGCCCGGGTTATTGCCCTGCCCTTCACGGCGACCAGCGGTTGCGAGGAGCATACGAATTTTGCCAGTGAATCAATATGTCTGCTGGCGGATAACATTTGGAATTAAGGAAAGATGTTAATTTTGTGACCGCTTGACGGTATTATGTTTCATGGCGAGCAGTGCGGTTCATGCGTGCGAATTTTTTTATGATTTGTCAGCAGTAGGCGGCAGCTATCAGGCCCATTAGCCATTTGTTCTCAGTTACAATTAATGCGCAGTGTGTTCGTTCGTTGTGCGGTATACTTCAGAGCAATGTGTATTTCTGTAAGGCACCGAAGGGCTATGCTACAAGCCGGAAGGTCACGGGTTCAAGTCCCGATGAGGTCATTAGATATTTTCAATTGACCTAATCCTTCTAGCCACACTATAGCCCTGGGGTTCACTCAGCCTCTAACAGAAATGACTACCAGGAATTAATTAAATAATTTTCCTGGGGAGTAAAGCGCGGCCGGCGCGTAAGGCTGACAACCTTACCCCCATCTTTGAGCCGATTTTCTAGATAATGTGGGACCCTCAACGTCTCACAACCCTAGTGGCCTTTATGGCCTGGTACAGGGATAGCTTTACTTTTACTTTTTACCGACATGAAATACGGATTTGCTAGAAATTGTCGGCGAAAATTTTGACATAAATTTCGTTATAAAAGAGTTCCCAGCAGACAAAAAATTCACAATTTGATGAATAAACTTAGATCAGCAGGACTCTCAACGGACAAGAAACCAAAATATCAGTTCCAAGTGCTTACTGAGGGGAAGTTAGACAGTATAGGAGCCGGACTTGAACATACACCTTGAAAATCAGTGAAACGTCTAGCTAAACAGACTGAAGTGTCAAAGCGTAGTAAAAGAAGGGCAACCCGATTGCTGAAGCTTAGACCCTATAAAACAACAGAATCCACGCCTTGCAACCGCCGTGCGATCCAGCTAACAAGGTTCATTTTTGCAGCTGGTTTCTACTGTCCGTCGTCAGAGTTGGGATCCATCCGCAATTGATATTATTTTCTGATAAAACGTGGTTTCACTTGAAGGGGCATATGAATACGCAGGTTGTCAGAAACATTGTCCAGTTTCCAACAGCATAGGCAACTGATTGCCGTACACAGCTCCAATGGTACTCATCCATTGCCAGACGAAGTCGGCTATTGCATCAGAAAATTGCGCGTCTGAATGTAACTTTACAAGCCGACTTTCTTCTCTAAGGAAATTCTGAATGTAATAATAGTCATGTTCATTTAATTCTTTTTTACATTACGTGTATTCTTCAGAAATCAAACATAATCTAACAACCAAATGTCTAAAGCTTGTTACTGAAGATAGAGAACTTGGTATATTAAAGGAAATAAATTAAAAAACACAAGACAAGAACAGTCATGTTGTTTTTCAGGACGAGTGGCAGTAGGCTCATAATGCAGGAACAGTGTAGTGGGATTGTCTTGTCAATAGAAAAAATTACCCAGCTATCAATGAACTGCTGAAGACACCTGCTAAGCAGATAACATGTCAATGCGTTAGGGACGCGGAGGGGGACACCTGCACGTCAAGATTAGAACTGCTATCTTTTCAGGGTTACGTAGAGTTATGATCAAAATATATTTCTGGAAAGTAAGAGAAGCAGTGAAGAACTTGCCGTCCTTAGTAACTAATCTTATTTCAGTGTTCTGTAAACAAAGCACATAGATTGGTGTCTAGTAAAAATACTTGAAACCGATGAGATTAAAATTTTGAAATTATTATTTGATCCTTTTTTCCTTTCTTTATTTGTACCGTCTTGGCGTCATTTAAGATATTCTCCTGGAATATGACTCGAAAGACTGAGGAGAACAGAGAAAGACTTATGTTACTTCCTCGTTTGAGATTCGAACCGAGAATCTCTAAATATGTATTAAAACTGTTATTCACATCACTCCACATGTTCTGGTAGTTCTTCTTGTATGTTTACATTTGTTTACTCGGAGGTTAAGGCTTAATTTTTAATTTTGCAAGTAGCATTTACTAGTGCTTGGATGTGACAATGTGTCGGTAGGTCCATACAAATTTTTTGTGGTTGTCTTACATTCTTAAAAATATATGAAAAATTAGGAGCTGAAGGGTCTACAACTAGCAGATTATAAATACATATTTCAGAACACTTTAGTTTATCACCTTCAGCTGATGCAATCAGACATCTCGGCCGCATGAATTCTTTTCGAGAGGAAACAGATTATACTATGGCTGAGAAAAAATTCTTTAAGTCTATTAGATTTGTCACATAATCATGAAAACAGTTGTCATTAACTTGAATGCGGCAATCAGTGTAAATAAAAGTTAAGAAAATCACGCCCACGAAATTGTGGACATTACGTGAGTTGAATATGAAGAGATAACGAATTCTGGTCAGCTCTCATGACGTCGACGTCAATTTCCCTGCTGCGCTCACTTCGAATCCTGTAATCTTGTGCTGTTATTAATTCATTCAGGTAAGTTTACGATTCCGTAATACAGTGCAGTGCAGCTCTTAAATGAAATTCTAATTTAGTCAGAATTCTTTACTGCTTACAGTAATAAACACGACTGTTGTTGAAGCATGGTGAAAAGCGGCCATTCGGAATTGCCCAATAAATTGGCGAGGGAATAATAGAAGATACTTTAATTGTTAGATCGTAAATGTGTTAACTGCTTAAAAGTATCTCAGAATCGTATCCGCTGCGATTAGTATTTTCAAACATTCAGACTGTCGATGCTGACAAGAGAACACACACTTCTCATTGAAGCGGTTTGACGTGTGACTGGCGTGTGGGTGATATCCCGTTCGAAAGGTTACCCAAAATAAATTATTCTGAGATTCTTCGAATTTTTCGTTGGTCCATCCAGGTAATGGTGAAATAATGGTTTGAACATAGAAGTAAGGGGGTTGGTCTAGAAGTAAACACAGAGAAAACTAAGTATAGGTTGCTGTCCCGTCACCAAAATGCAAGGCGAAATCGTGGCATAAAGATAAGAAACAGATGTTTTGAAAATGTGGCACAGTGGGAATGACAATAAGAAATCAAAACCTGATTCAGGACGAAATTAATAAGAGACTGAACTCGGGTAATGCTTGCTACCATTCAGTCCAGAACCTTTTGTCTTCTCGTCTGCTGTCCAAAAACATAACAATTAGAATGTACAAAACTATAATTTTGCCTGCAGTTCTGTATGGATATGAAACTTGGTCTCTGACATTAAGGGAGGCACATAGACTGATGGTGTTTGATAACAGGGTGTTGAGGAGTGTATTTGGACCGAAGAGAGATGAAGTGACAGAAGGTTATAATGAGGAGCTTCATAATTTGTACTCTTCTCCAAGTATAATTAGAATGATCAAGTCAAGGAGGATTAGGTGGGCAGGGCATCTAGCAGAATGGGGGAGAACAGGAATGCATATAGGATATTAGTGGGAAAGTCAGAAAGAAAGAAACCACTTGGAAGACCGAGGCGTAGGCGTGTGGACAATATTAAAATAGATCTTAAAGAGGTATGACGGCATGGAATGGATTAGATTGATCTGGCTCAGGATAGGAACCAGTGGAGGGCTCTTGTAAGCACGGTAATGAACCTTCGGGTTCCATAAAATGCTGGGAAATTCTTGAGGAGCTGCCCTCAAGAAGGGCTCAGCTCCATGAGTAAGTAAATAATGGTTTGAGAAAGACTAGATCCGTCACATAATTTTAATTATTTTACAGTATTGCTACCATATCTTATTCAGAGACGTACACATAATACTGATTAATGTTAAGTAAAGGCAAGTTGTTCCCATGCTTAATTAATTAAACACTATGCCATGAAGACATATGGGGGAGTGAAGGTATAGCTCCACCATTCTTGACTTCGGCACTAGATGGGGTGAATGGTCAGCTTCACGCCCCAGCCGCTTTACCTCCTTGAAATGAGCCCCCGGTACCCACTGACTGGGTGAGGTCTTATCACTGAATAGTAATTAAGCTAAATTCGTGCACTTAAAGGAAAGCAAATCCAGATGACTGCTTGCCCGAAGTGAGGCTTTCCTTTATCTGCTTGCACTATCATATGGCAAAGAAGGGACGCTTATATGTACTACTGCATTTTATCTTCAGTAAATATTTGGCGACTGTCAGAAATTTCGAATTAGTCATAGGCATACGCACCGTCAATCGAATACCTTAAAACAGCAAGGGAAGACTCTTCATACAAGACAGCCTAAATATCTAATACCAGGACTCAAAAGGTACATATAACACATTAAATACCAGAACTCCACAACAATCACATGCAGGGTTCAGCAATCGTGATTCAAACCTGGGAGTTCCCAGGTTTGAATCATGGCCAAAAGACTGTCACGAAATTTGTCTTGTTTCCTTTTAAATTTTAGAAAATGCTGAGTTGGTAGAGTAAAATTGGTCGCAGCTGCTTTCTTCCCCAAACAGTTCCAGACCACATAATTCTACTACATGCTGCTACATAACCTAGGTAACTGATAAAGCCATCTACTTAACGTCACGATCTTAGATTGACTACAGACGTGTTTCGAATTGATAATCGGATTTATTGAACTCTTACAGCTCGTAACTACAAATGGGGATTATGCCGCCATTGTTCTACACACTTCACAATCCCTATAGGGCACACTAGGTCTTCTCAGTCTGTTACAGCCTTCACTAGCCGTTGCTTGGTAGCGACTTCCAACGGCGGACGTTCCCCTTCCTCTGAGTTCCCGAACTGTCCCTGGCCTCAGCTACCAGCTTCTGCAACTCTTAACGAACTTACTGCCTACAGACCCTCTCTCCACTCACTGACTTTCGGCTCGGACTCTACTCGGGATTGACTCGGACGCTACTCGAACTGACTCCCAGGTTGGCGGTCATCTCACACCAGCCCCCTATCCAAAACGGTAGCTGACCCTCGTTATATAGCCTTGGTACGGACCGCACAGAGATCATCGCTTCCAGAAGTTCTTCTATTGTTACGTGCATATCGGTTAAGGCCATTGCATAGCAACGGCCGTATCTGTAAAGCCGTTCCCTAGCAGCGGATGTCTCTGTTGGATTCACAGTTTTGGTTTTCAACACACATGCGAAAATATGAAAGAGTAGCTTACAGAAATACGATGGGAATTTGTAGACTGGAATCATCTGGTTCAGGATAGATTCCGGTGGAGGACACATATAAACATGGTATTGAACTTGCGGGTTCCATAGAATGTTGTGAATTTCTTACCTAGCTGAGCAACTATTAGCTTCTTAAGAAGGGCTCTGCTACACTTAATTATTTTATTAGTTTTTTTTATTGCTAGTGGGGTGGTACTAAGTACCTTGTACTGCGGCCACTTCTGGCCTATTGTACCAGCCCCAGATGATAGGTGAGGGTGATTGGAGTAATTGGTGGAATGAAGATTGGCAGGAAAAACCGAAGTACCCGGAGAAAACCTTCCCCAGCGCCACTTTGTCCACCATAAATCCCACTTCACTAGACCCGGGATCGAAGCCGGGCCGCCGCGGTGGGAAGCCAGCGACTAACCACTTGAGCTATGGAGCAGCCTTATTTCATTAGTTAGTTAGTTAGCTACTTAATTTTCAGGCAAATTTATCGTAGTCGAAATCTTTTCAATAGGAAGCGTAACAGAAACGGTCCACTAAATAGCATAATTATCAGTGTGCAGTTCTGCTAGCCTCATCATTCAGAATGGCTCAGCGAAAAGAAGGCAGACGTCATGAAGCTCTTCGCGGAACTTCTTGATTCCTAGAGATGTTTTATGATACAAAGATTACTTGCACGCACGCTTACGGTAAACTTCGTGTACTCCCCACAGGAACATTGCCCACTCTGCTGTCAGCCAGAACATCACAGCTCTCCGTTGTCCGGGAAGAAGACCCGTATATCGTCAGTTGCGTGCCTTGTCCCGCCATTATTTCGTCTGTAAAAATAACAAAAGTTGTTTTGATACTTGATGATAGTCATTTAGAAGATACTGTTTTGGACCGTTGCTTAGATAGGTCCAGTCGGGGACAATGTCCAAGGTTATTGCATCTGGCTATGTACACTTATCACACGAATTTATTTATACACTTATTGTCAGACGCGGTTCGACTTGTCAGCCGTTGTCATTTCCTCTTTGATCGCAATTCGTAAACCGTAGCAACTTGTACAATTTTTACAATATACGTCTAATCTTCTGCCGGTCACTGTAGCCGAGCGGTCTAAGGTTTGTACTGTGTTCGCTCGCTCGGAAACCGTGATCGTGGGCGCGAATCCCACACAAGGCATGGATGTTTGGCGTGTGAATGCGTTTATTCTGTATTTGTGTTATCTTGTGTTTAGGTAGAGACCTTGCGACGAGCTAATCACCCGTTCGAGTCCTACATTCTGCAAAAATGATCATAAAACCGAGAAATCAGCCCTATGCTCAAAAGTGGGAGCGAGAAGGAAAATAGCCCCTCTCCTATTGATGATTATCTCTTATTTAATTGGAGTTCGAAGGACGCAAATACTTTTGAGGTTGCAGGTCTAAAGGCCACCATACACGTTTTTCAGTACGATTTGTATGCACAGATTTTTGATCTGAATCTAAAATGAAGCTTGTGTTTTGGAAAGTCGAAAGACTTAATTGGTATGTACAGTCTTTGGCATAGCTTGAAGTAAATGTGTCAGCGCGTGATTTTGTCAAGCATATACAAATTAGTCGCCATGCAAGTTCAAACGTGTGTGCTGCTTGCTCAGTTTCTTTTCAGTCTTTACTATGCACCGCATCAATCATGTCGGATCCGCGGACCATTCCTCGTGAGTTTCTTTCGCATTTTATTGAAATATACAAACAAGAATGCTTGTTGAAGATAAAATTGAAAGAATATTTGGATCGTAATAAAAATACTCGGCGTACGAATTATTAATAAACTCAAGGAAATCGATCCAGAAGCGAAAAAGAAATTAATCTTGCAAAAAAATTCTCTCCGTACCTGATTTAGGAAGAACTTAAACAAAGGTAAGAGAATCGACGAACTCTTGTGTTGGGGCTGACGGCAATTACCATCCCAATTTGTAGTACTTCAATGATATGCTCTTTCTGGAGGACCAAGAAACCCACGAAAATGTGTAAGCAATGCTGATTCAATATATTGTCACGTGTATCACTGACTATAGACAGGTTTTAGATTGATGACCATATTTTTTGGACTCTTTGATACAAGTGACTACACTTTACAGTTCACTATTACACATGTATACGCTAGTGTCCACAGTGACGTCTTCAACGCCGACACTTTGTAACGGCTTCCAACGGTGGACGTTCCCCTTCCTCTGGGTTCCCGAACTGTCCAAGGCCTCAGCTACCGGCTTTTCGCAGCAACGGCTCACAACGACCGAATGTCGGCAGTTCTCTAACTCAGCCACTCATCACAATGCCATGAATATATTGTATATATATATATNCAGTAATCTGTCAAGACGACAGGTCCACAGTCTCTTCCAAAACAGTTCCTCCACTTGATGCGATCTAGAGCTTTCTCCTTCAAATGAGACATCTCGCATACATGGTATCTCTGGTTTTGGAAAGAGACTATCCAGGAAAAAAATGTGGTAGTTTTTCCATTTGCTTTCCACAATTGTATATACATATGTATTGATTTTGACCATACACATTGTAATAATAGTTTCTGCCCGTATTGATATATCCTTCTGAAGAAAGAAGAAACATTTTATCAGTCACACTGGACGGAGTTGATTAACCTTTTATAATATTGCTAGTGTGATGGACCAGGATGAACCAAATAAAAGAAAATAAAAAAAATACCAAGAAAATTCACTAAAACCTTTCATCAAGAGTGGAGTTAAATGCGGACAAAGAAGAAGCAGAAAGATAAGAGACATCATGCATGGCTATAAATTGCGTTGCATTTTCTTAATCTTCTTGAGGCTACAGCTCGATTCAAGCATTGACTTGTTTCCTGATAAGATCCTCCACTCCTACTTAGAATGTGGTTCTGTAATATAGGGCCGGACTTTTGCAAGACCTCGAGAAATAACACGTTAACAAACAGACAAATATTCGTACCTCGATCGAAAATCGAAAGCGCGATCTCAGGATTCCAGAGCACTTGGACTGCACAGTTACTGGACCAACACGTTTATTGCTACTTTGACGACGAGGTAATGCCGGTACTACGACACGTGACGTGCTGAACGAGCGGAAACTTTTCAATATGCCCATAGACTTACCAGTCTGGCCAAGACAGTTCAGATGTCTGCACGCAACAAGCCATGGGCCTGACCTGGTGACTGCTGAACGCGACTAGCTCCTTTCATCAAAATATCCAATCTTATCAGTTCACGATTACTCACTGACATTGATGGAAGTTACGTCGTGGACGCTAGTACCGCCTCTGGGTGAAGGGGGGAAGTGCCAGATGAAAGTGATACCTTGACGCAATCTAGACTGGTTAGGAAAGTCAGGGAAGATTATTATTAAATATGCTAGGATGTATCCTGTCCAATTTCATAAGAAATTAAACTGGATAATAAATGTCGGCATATTATCAAGATATTTCCTAGGAAGATGTGTGCAGAATTTACCTCTGGGTTCTGGTAGCGAACATACTAGTATATTAGTACTAGAAATGTTACAGCTTATATTTACTTCTCTGTAAAAAGTAAAGAAATTATGAATTCATTTCGGGATTTACACAACCAACGAAGACGGAACTACAAATAAAGTTCCCGGAACGTCACGTGACTGGAATATGACAGATGGCAAACAGGAATACTTTGTACGTCGGCATTGAGAATTAATTATGGGTAACGTGTCTGACTCACAGTCGAAATATAACTGTTTCGAGTCTGGGACGTGAAAGCGGCTACTGTGACTGATGCTTTTCGTGGTTTTATTCAGTCTGAGCAGGAGAATATCACAGAAATGCTAGAAAACAGACCACATCTGCTTCCCCTTGATCTCACAGAACAATTATTCGTGAACCCACCATGTTCTATTCACCCGACAAGTTTGAATATCGGTAACGTACCAGTCTCATGTTCAGAAGGAGAGCAGTTTGACTCTAGGGTACGGTTGATTTCGTGTTTATATTCCATTCTTCTAAGTCAGGGGTGCTTAATATTTATTGTGCCATGGTCCCCTCTGACAATTCTGTGAAGCCTACGGACCCCTTCTCAGAATGTTTTAAAATGCATAAATTAAAATAAAATATATAGGATTACAAAGGAAACCGATTATATTGAAAAACAAAATATAAATATAAATACTAAGGGTGTACTCAATAGCCAGCTTAATGTGTGCGGGGATATTTTCCCAGGGAACGAAGGGGCAAACTTGAAGTTGACGGCTGACCTCCATCTTCTGCTCAGGTTAAGAATTCGTGTTATTTTATCTCCGTTCCCTCCCTACGTCTTAACTGCAAGAACAAATTTACTGTTTACCAATTGTACTATAAGAACAGGAAAATAAATTCCTGGTTATATCGTTGTCTTTATTATTCAATGAAGAATCATTATTGTCACGTGTATTGGTGTGACTATAGACGTGGTTTGGATTGGTAACTGGATTTATTGAACACTTACACATCGTAACTACAGGCAACTATAGCGCTATCAACAGTTCACTGCAGCACGTACTGGGTTTTCTCAGTCTGTTGTGTCTTCACCAGTCGTTGTCTGCTACCGGCTTCCAACGGCGGATGTTCCTCTTACTCTGGGTTCCCGAATTATCCCCGTGCCTCAGCTACCAGCTTCTGACCACAGCGGCTCACAGGGGCTGGACCACAAGAGCTCTATAACCAACTCGCTCTACTCCAGTGCACTAACTGAACTGAATTAGGTCGATCAAGTGATATAGCCTCGGAGTGAACCACATAGAAAACATCTCTTCCAATAGTACTAACACCGTTGCACAAGGCCGCTGCCAAGCAACGGCTCCAATGCTGCTGCGTATTTACAAAGCTGTTACACAGCAATGGCTGTTGTCTCGTTTATTTCGCTGTCGTTGCCTAGAAATTGGTTTATACGTCACAATATGTTTTAGGTCCATATATTTTACTTAGGTCATGATGTATATTATTATTATTATTATTATTATTATTATTATTATTATTATTATTATTATCTACACTGTTCTGTGTCTATAATTGGCCTTGCGGCTGTTGACTCGGCACATAAATAAAAAAGAATTGAATTGAATTATATCTTGACTGATTAAGCTCTCTGGCCTGTTCTCATTCAGAATTAATTATGAAATTATGAATTTTATGTAAAGTTTGTAAGGTTCTATGGACCGATGATCAGCCCATCGTAAGGCCGCTGTGTACATAGGACAACACAAAGAGAGACAAAAAGCAGACCGACATCCATTCCTCGAGCGAGATTGGAACTCATGATCCTAGTGTTTGATCGAGCGGAGACTTTCGTGCCCCTAGACCGCGCGGCCACTCCAATCAACTTGATATACGTACATCATTACGGTGATGAAATCAAGGAAGATGAGACGGACGGCGACGAGCAGCGTGCATGGAATACATGACAGATGCCTTCAAAACCTGGTCCGGAAACTTGAGCTAAACAGACAACTTGGAACACTTACGTATAGATGAGATAATAATATTAAAATGGAACATAGGAATGGGTTGAGAGGATATGGATTCAATTCGCCTAATTCAGGATGACAACCAAGGGTGGCAGGCCCTTTGAACATTGTAGTGAATATTCGGGTCCCACAGAAGGGGAGACATTCGCTGCATGGATTTTACTGTTTTCCACACATTTCCCATTCTCATTCCTCAGGCACAGTAAGGAACTTGGTCATATAAGTATGCGAATATATATAGGCCTACATCATATAAAACAGGCTGATGTAACTCTAAGCCGCATGGTCTAAGGCCTGAACTGTCTTCGCTTGCTCCATCGCTAGGATCGTGGGTTCGAATTCAAGGTATAAATGTATCGGTCTGTATTGCATGCGTTTATTTTGTGCTTATGTTGTTGTGTGTGTAGGTAGCTGCCTTGCGACAGGCTGATCCCCCGTCGAAAGAGTCCTACCGTCTGTGTGTAGGATCAAGAAACTGAAAAAGCGGCCTAGGCCCAACGAAGGGCTGTAGAATAATAATAATAGTAATGCACTAATTAATACTGTAACTTCATAATGTTTCGCGTTATTAAGCTGTTTCCTCTCTCAGAAATTATCCTACTATCTGAAGGGACTGCATTAAGATGACTAATAGGCTTAGAATTGATACCATTTGGGTGCATGTCATATTGGAGGGTCTTTTCTTTTTTCTTTTTTTTCAGACATGGATATGTAGAGCTGCTTTCACTGCCTATTACAGGACCTCATACATTTCATGTTATGTTTGTTTATCATTAGCAAATTGATATGAGTGATTGAGTCATCAGTCATTTGTCACACGAGAATCGTCATGACATTTTCGTCTTAATCACAAAATCTCAAAGGGGGCTTGGGCTGATAATTAACTAACATATTTTCTTGGTCTCAGCACTAGATGGAGGTGAGTGGACAGCTTCACGATCCGGCCGCTATATCCCCCTGGGTTAGAGCCCCTGGTACCCATTGGATAGGAGGTTGTATGGACCCGAGAGCCGGTCTGGATGATTTGAAGGAGAGAACATTCTTGACCCTACCGGAACTCGAACTCCAACCCCTCAGTCGTCCAGCCCGTAGCTAATCGCTATACCGACTACGCTACCACGGCTCCTTTCACCCCGTTAAGACCAGTTATAATGTATTATTTTTTTATTATTCCTAGTGGGGTGAGATTTAGTCCACTTGGTACTGCGGCCACTATTGGCCTACTGTACCAGCCCCAGATGATAGATGATGGTGATTGTGGAGTAATTGGTGGAACGAAAATTGGCACAGGAAACAGAAGTACTCGGAGAAAACCTGCCTCAGGGCCACTTTGTCCACCACAAACCTCACATCACCAGACCTGAGCTCGAACTCGGGCCGCCAGCGACTAACCGCCTGAGCTATGACGCGGCCCCTAAGACCCATAGCCCCACCATGGTCTAAAGGAATCTTCTTGTTTTTTCAAGAAGTGTGTTTTTAGAATTAGGTACAATAATCATTAATGAAATATTTATTTTCGACACCTCACGTGCAACCCAGCCGACAGTGAAGTCCCACTGTGGCACGCTTCCCACAGGTTGATGAACAGTGGTTTATTATAACGGAGTGTAACCCAAACCTTATATGAATTTTTTTTATTGATAGTGGAGTGGGACTAGGTCCCTTTTACTGCGGCCACTTCTGGCCTATTGTACCAGATTTTGGAGCAATTGGTGGAATGAAAATTGGCAGGAGAAACTGAAGTACTCGGAGAAAACCTGCCCCAGCGCCACTTTGTCCAAAACAAATCCCACTTGACCAGGCCCGGGATCGAACCCGGGCCGCCGCGGTGGGAAGCCAGCGACTAACCTCTTGAGCAATGGCGCGGCCCAACCTTATATGTAAGTACACGTGTTACATTATTATTGCTGATATTTCGGGTTCGCAAGCCGGATATAAGTGAGTCCTCGGTTCGGATCATTCTATACAATACCGACATGAATTTATTAATACGTGTTCTTGACGTTAGAAACACTTCTCATGTTTTTTATCTTCCGCAAGGAGTGTCAAACCATTTTACGTAGTGTGTACGGGTATCTACCAACTTATCGGATACACAAATCATCTCGCCTGTCACATGATCATATGAGCGTCATGTGATAATTAAGCACGTAAATAATCACGAGACTCAAACATATGGCATTCTGAACGTGAGTCACCCACTCAGAAGTCGACGTTGGGGGGTGAATGATTGAGAAACCTACCCTCCGTGTGTGGGAGCACGCAGTTATCCTATGTCGCATGCGCTGAGGGGTAGTTTTACCCTCGACAGGAACCCCTGATCAGTTCGCATGTGTACCGCGATACGTCTGCATAGTGCAAATTTTTGTTAGCTTTTAACTTCAACTGGTGCAGCATCAATGACGTGAACGCAATGGTAGGCTCTCCGGACATCAATCTGTTGTCATGCCTCTTCTATCTGGTAATTTATGGGGCTACTTCCGTAGTAGAACAATTTTAAACGTTGAAAAAACATCCAGCAGTGGTGCGGAGGTAGTTGTTGATTTGTTTCTGCGTTGTGATACCTGATAGCCTCCCCGCTTGTAAGGCTTTTCACTCTCTATAGTAATACATTACGAAAAGGACATATATGACTTCGTGTATTGTTGTAACCTATTAATATCGTGGATTCTACCCGTAC